AGCCAAATATGGGTCTTACACCCTTATGGATTTGAGGACTAAAAAGATTCTTACCCTACAGTTGGTTCAGGTAAGTAGCTTCTCCTGTTTTTAGAATTTTTTCTCTTATCTATTAGTATTACAACTACAGGTAATTTTTAAGCAAGCAGCAATGCCTTAATAACATTAAATGCAAAGCACTTAAATGTAATGATGAAATGATTTGATGTTACTCTGGTCTAAAAGTTTTCCTACCTGTATTATTTCACAAAAACAGAGCAATGAAGTCGGATCAAGCAATGCTATGGAGAAGGAGGGTCTGGCTAGGGCGATTGACTTCATAAGGAGGAACTGCACATTGCAGATCGGCAAGATCGTCACTGATCGCCACCTACAGATCGCCAAATGGATAAGGGAAAACCTGCCAGAAACATGTCATCTGTATGACATCTGGCACATTGCTAAAGGTAAGCATTCCTAGTTCACACAAACGAAGCAAGAGGGCTGACTGTCCCTAGTTTATATAATAGTGCTGATTTATAATTTTACACAAACTGCAATTATTGTGGACCTTACAAAGAGCAAGTTGTTAGTGTTTTGTTAGCTTCTCTGGCGTGTTTGAGTGGTTGCTATACTGGTTACATTAAAATTTAAGGACAAAGAAGACCAATTCAATAAGCCCCACTGAACAAATTCAGACTACTAGTAAATAAACACTTTTTGGTAGGTGTAGTAGTGTTCTCATGCAGTAATTGGTTTGTTATTAGGTCTCAGGAAGAAGCTTTCTGCCTTGGCAAAGCAGAAGGAGTGTGAGGTAGTAGGTGATTGGACAAACTCCATTGTCAATCACCTATACTGGTGTTCCACAACAACTAGGGAAGGTGCTGGTGACTTGGTGGAGGGCAAGTGGTTGTCTCTTGACAACCACTTGCACAATGTTCACAGTGGCCACAGTGAAGCCTTCCCACAGTGTGCCCATGGGCCCTTGCGCAGACAGTGGCTTAAACCGAGTAAGACAGTTATTAGTAGGTTCTGTCTGTCAAAACCAAGCATTGGGTGGCCAAACTAAATAAAGTTTATCCTAGATAAACTTTAATATAAGGTCTAGTCTACAAATAAAACAAAAAATTGGTAAGCAGAATTACATTTCACAAATGGTTGTTTCAGTGGCAACAGTTTGCTTGGTTTCTACAGTCTTAAGTTGTTCAGTCTTGATAAAGTAATCCAATACTGATTTTCAAACATTTAAATTGTAAGGTGGCTTACATGTACATGAAGCTGCATAATTACATCAACTATTATAACAGCAACAATAACAAAGTCTTATTGTTTCTTCAGATGTGCATACTGTAATACAGCCAGTTCATTTACAAGTTACACTGCAAACATGTTAGTGTGGCATCTCCAAAAACTTGTTACATTTTTACTTATTGTGGTATTTGTGTTTCAGACACAAAGGCCAGTGTTAAGCTTTCTGCTATCATTACAAAGAAAAGCCTTCTGAAGGACATCCGAAAGCTGTCACCCAAATACCAGACCGCACACTTGGAGGCATTCCATAGTACAATCAACCACTTTGCTCCAAAATGGGCAGCATTCTTTTACATGGGGATGTTGTCAAGGTATGTTCAACTTTTTAAAACAGCAAGTGTTAAATTTTGTAGAAATTTAAATAGGTATGTATGACAGTAGCCATAAAGTTGACCTGAACAGGGGAGGAAAATGGTCTATGACTGTTTCTGTTACTAGTATTCATATATGCAAATTTGAAAAAGAATAAAACGTATTTACACAAAAAATTACAATTTTACATATATATTGTTTTTTGCTACCTCTTATACCATGTACCTGTACTGTATTACCCTTCAGGCTCCATCTGGCTGCTCTGCACCACAACGAAAACTGTGGGCGGGGACAGGCCAGAAACAAGGATGGGGAGAGAATCTATAAGATCAGGTATAAAAAGTTCAAGAAGTCATGCACAGTGCAGGCAGTGCAAGGGAGCTGCACGTTTGGTAAGGACTATCTACTGTACTCCTGGGTTAAATTATCTTGATATAAACTAGGTTAGCTCAGACATAGTTTTTTAGGGCCATTCTATATATTGTTATAAGGTCACACCGGGTTAATTTTATAAAAATGCATATGCTACTGTTTACCATCCAATACAACTAACAATTCTCTCCCTGTAAAATGCAGACTATGTGACTGAACTCACAGAAGAAGCAGTGAGGCTCTGCGAAGAAGCTATCGTGGATGATGATCTGATGGAAATACCACCAACCCTTACAAGTACTAGTGGTGCTGACAGGCTGAACAAAGAAGCTGCCATCCAGGCCCACAGAACAAGATTCAGCATTGATGAATAGTAGTAAAAGGACTTCTTCTGCAGTACAGTAGTGTAGTAATAAAGCACACATGTAGTAGTAGTACAAGTTAGCATCCTTCCATATCAAGAGAGGATGGTTTCACTGTGCTGTCATGGCTGTAAATTTCTTGTATACATGTATATATTGAGACACCCTTAACTTTGAACCCTGATCAACATTTGAACCAACTTAGGTAAACTTATACTTCTAACAAGTTCTATTCTGTGGCTGACAACATTAGCCTTCCATTACTACTAATTCAGTGGAGGGTACTGGAATCCTGTGTATTGTGCTGACGGAAAGGTGTCCCTGATCTTTGTCACTGCACATGCAGGGAGGACCACTCTCATTTCTCTTCCCAGCCACCCCCAGCACCAACGCACCAACTGGCGGTAGGCAATGTACCGGTACCTCCTAAATTGGACGGCTTGGTTAATTTTTTTTACATCATCCATTGTAGCAACTAAACTGTGAACTTGTATAAGTCTGTATCAAATTTATAAGGACTACAGATTACTAGTAGATAACGAACTTCACTGGTTAACTGAAACTGTGCACATCAGTTCTATAGGAAACAGGAAAATATTTCCACCGTGATTGAACAGTGACTGCTGGTACTAAATTTAAATTGAGTGGTCATAAGATACACACCCTCAGTAAACTTGTACTGCTGAAGTAATGCACATACAGATACTAGTATGTCTCCAATCAACATTTAATGTTAATTTATTAGTTGGAAACAGAGAACGTGCATATCGCTAGGTAGCTTACTCATGGGTTGGATCTTGACTGGGCCCATACTCTTGCCTGTACTGGTAGTAAGCACACTGTAGTGCCCAGATGTCTAGACAGACTGATGAGAAGCCAGGGTGCATGGTTATGCACTTGGGGGCCGGAGACACCCCCTCCATAGTGTTCCTAATTTGTTCGTGTTCTTGACAACAGACACATTCTGTTGTGGTTGCCATTATACGGCAATTATCACATCTGCACCTGAAATGTTATATAGAATTATGTGATACATATACCATATAGGTAATAGTTGTATCACTCTCAACTTTCCAATGTTATTAAATAAATTTTTAGGCAGGTAGGTATGATGATGACTTATTCAAAATGTCCATCCTACTAGTAATAAGTAATTTAGCGTGTTTAAAAAAAAGACATGTCTTCAACCACACATACTGGTAAACACACACACACTTCTGTGGATATATTTATCACAAACAGCACAAAATTAAAGACAACAAAATTCTGGCAAATAGAGTTTATTTAACAACTATTCAAAATATGATACACATAAGAAAACTGGTTTAGGATACATGTATTTACGTGCTGTCGAAAAGTTTATCGCAAAGAAATCTGTTCTAAATCTAATGTTTACAACGTGCTGTTTGGATGATGAGAGGAAAATGTATGCAACTTGACTTTTTCTGCACAATTTGTGCCAAATAAACTACTTGAACAATAAAGATTTATAGTTCATTCATGAACATTCATGAATAAAGTCTCTGGTGCGTAGCTGACGAATAGCCTGTTTTTCTTTCGTAGCGTTTACTTCTGCGTCGACGCGACAAAAAAATTTATCACAGAATACCACCGAGCCCCCTCCCCCTTCACGAACCATAAAACGTCACAACGCCGAACTGCTCGTACGCTGAGCCCTCAGAATTATTCGGAAGAATTAATCCGTGACATAACTTTTAGTTCCTTGCAGACCAAGTAGCACATAAAACAGTGTGACACAGTACCTTCATCGCGTACAAAGCAACTATATAACCTTGCGTTATATTTGGAACTGAAGGACGCAACGGGCGGCTCAGCGAGCTCAGCGTATACACACCAGTTTCGGTTTGAACGGCGGTCCTGATTCCCGCGATCTGGTGCCTCTGGATCCCCGTCTTCTCCCTCCGCCGCCTCGGGCTCAAACTGGTATGGTTGAACGCCCCCAACGCCGTACGCGTCGCCCCACTCGAGCTCTCCACCAACTTCCATGGCTTCCGCCATTTTGGGCGACCTCTCCTCTGACCGTCGGCGGGTGGGCGTTCCTACTGTGACGTCACGTGACGTCATCACCCAGATTTGCCGAGATCAAGGAAACCCAAGATGTTTGGCGCGCTGTGTTAAAAACGAGCGCGCGCTGGTGGACGCGATTGCTAAAATTTATGAGCACAACCGACAATCTTCAGATTAAGTACAACAGATTAAGTCTATTTTCCCTGTTACATAGGGGCTTTAATTTTGTAGATGGCATTCTCTGAAGACCCCCAAACTAGTGCAGGCGGGCGAAAACAAAATCCTTAACCACAGGAATACAAAGCTGGTATTGTGAATATGCAGTAGTACATAGCGGCTTTAAAGACAAACCAACACATGCTGGCCTTTTGCGGAATTTGATGATCAAAAGTTCCGTGGAGCTTTGGCAGCCTGGGTGCCATTCTCTGCAGTTACCGTCGGCTCCCTTTTGTCGTTAGCTACCATGGACCAGGCCAAAGCCTCCTCGGATGCGATTTTTTTTTAGAACAGGCGAAAACCAATGCGTGCGGATGTCATTCATAAAATTAAATCAGTGTGGACTAATTGAAGCGTCCGTACTCAACACGGATCCGCTAACAGGTTAGGACAACAGGGGCCGGGAGTGCGTGATCTCGCAGCTAGCTGGGGGATTGTATTACTAACAAGTTTCACTCTTCGGTGGTTAGTGGTCCTGAGTAGTTTTGTTTTACTACAATTTAGGCAATACATGTACCAAATAATTTTTATGGATGACGTTTTCTGAAGACCTTATATCTAGTGCGGGAGAGCAAAAAAAAAAAGAAGGGCCGGAAAAACGTTAACAAGATGCCTACACAAAGAGACGACAAATGTTAGCACACAACTGCCAAATTGAGAAAACAACCAACAAGTCTTATATTCGTCACGAAAGCAGCAATATAAATCAGTGGAACGGCAGTTGTTGTCCTGTCCTGTTTTCTTTCATCACATCCTCCAATCTTGCGATTCGCGTCACTGTCGTGGCTGTCTGGTCATAGTTACAGGAAGCAGAATTTTTTTTTCGACAACAGGCCAAAATCAACACGCGCGAGGACGTCATCCATATATATATTACTTGGTGTGGCTTAACATTGGCAAAACGTAACGACGGCACACTCTATCCATGACTTATATCTGTGCCATCATCAGGAACAAAGAACATTACATTGATTCATGCAGAGTAGTTAACCAAGCAGTTAAAAATTTGGAACAAGATAATCACGTTTCTGGATACAACAATTTGTTTAACAGCAGCTTTTGGGCTGAAATCCAAAACTTGATATGCGGCACTCCAGAATCACTTCGTTTTTCTTTTAGATAAATTTAACACATATTCCTATGAAAAACGTGTTTTTCCAATGGCCTTCATTATTGTCATGCCGTAGCTTTTTAGCAGGGATGGTACTTTTTGGCAGATACTTAAAGATTATATCATGACACTTCAGCATCGCTTCATTTTTCTTTTCAGATAAATCTAACATTCTTATGAAAAACGTGTTTTTTCATCTTGATGTGCAGCAGACGTTGACAAGACAGCAGTTTTGCCGCCTTGCGGGCACTGGCATAAGCGAGTTTCACGGGATTTAATGCTGTAAATCCTGTCATTTTTCTTGCTTTGCATTTATTGCGTAACACCGTGGGCTGGTAGTGCATCGGCTTTGCGTATTCCATTTGACATTTATTGACTTTAACCCTCAAACCACCTCAAAACACATCTGGCGTGCAATGGTGTAGGTATATGTTTTTCCGCAAGATGGCGATTCTACATTACAGCATAGAGTTTGGGCACAGCCTGCCTCTAACTTACAAAGACCAGGGACATAAAATCTAATAGTATATATTGTCCCCGCAAAACTGTTTTGTTTATTCTGCTACACCTCGAAATTTGTATGGAGCTGCCAAGATGCTGTTTCTGGCTTTTTTTCTTTGTATTTGTACATGACCCTTCTTGTCGCTGACTATTTGTGCCACCTGGCGAAATAGCTTGTAGTGGCAGAAATTCACACATAGTACTGCATTAAATTATACCTGCATTAAATGTAATACCTATCTGCCGAAGATTCCGTGCCCCACAACATATATGTGGGAAATACAATCCATGTAGGTCGAGGGTGTATGTACACCACGCTTTACAAAGACTTTTAATATGTTGAGGATATTCCCTTATTTATTCTACATACATAGTACTAAGTGCATTATAAAATATCATGTACATGTAGGTAACTACAAAATGCTAAATCTACATAGTAAAAAAGACAAAGCGTTCATCATCAGTTTGTCAACTTTATTTCATTATATCATTATATAATAACTTTCTAATTTCACTACCAATTTGATTCATAAAGATTTTCAGTCAGATAGTCACAGACTCTGAGGTTGGTATATGTTTCGTAACCATAATTTTTAAAAACAAGAAGACCTTACAAAACAGTGATGAGCGTACATATAGTTGCACCACAATAAATACTTTCGTCGAAAGTTTTCGAACTCGTCTGTTGTAAGAAAATAAATATACCTGGTAGAAGGACGTGTGTGTTACATACACTTGCTGCCCAATGTGCTACGTACGGGAGGAACTAAGTCTAAGTTACATACACGTCTTTCGTTAACAATATGGTGTGCTCTGACTTCCTGCAAGCCATATTTTGTACCTGACTTTCTTCGGTTGTAAGTTTAAACCGTCAATGTCCAATGTATACAAATAAAACACATTATTTTAACCTATTACATCATTTAAACATAGTTCTAAACCGAAATATCACCCTCTACAGGTTCTACCATCTTCCATATACCCTGATACTATATATACCAGCTAGTCAGATTTTCACAACAATAGTTAAATTATAGTACCTAGTCCTTACATATTCTTCGGGTATAACTCTTAAAAGAACGTCGCAGGTATACAAAATAAAACGCATCTTGTTTAATCTAATAAACTAATCTGTACTTCATATACGGTTTTAAGACATGTTGAAGACTTTATCTTAAAATATCTGAGAAAATAATTAGCTTACGTACTTAAAATCCACAACATGACAAGAAAGTGGAGGCCTTTAAAAAAGCATTACTGAAATATGTGGCCTCTAGGAGTCCAGTGATCATTCATTTTTTGACATATCATCTTGAGGACATTTTCTGGAACCTAGAAGCTGTCAACTTTCCTGATATATTTAATATAACCTGAGAGAATTCAGCAAAATGTGCAGCATAACTGACACAACATAGACCGTGCCCTGTGGCTCTTTCCATAAGGCCTTATGGAAAGAGCCACAGGGCACGGTCTATGTTGATTTGATTGTATGGATGACATCCACGCGCGCATTAATTTTCGTCCGCTTCCAAAAACAAATGGTTCTGACCATACTGTAAATCGTACAAAATGAGCGAATGTAAGTCGTATGTTAAAAAACAAAAAGATTGAAAAATGGTACTTATGTAATAGAATGCCGAAATCAATTCAGGAAAAGATGAACATTTTTTGGCCCAACCTTTTTTTCGCACGTTCGCGTCAGTTTTGGGGTTCCCAGAGGATGTCATCCATATAATCAAATCAACATGTTAAGTGGCTGTAGGCGCTGCATAAACTTTGGGACAGCTTACTTTTAATATGTTTAAGATATACCAGAAAACACATGATTCAAACGCAGTATTTTTATGTGTGTACCGCTTGAAACAGTATCCCTACAGCGACATTTTTCTTTCAATTCGTTGTTCTTCCCTTTGGCTGCATTTTTACTCACACGATCGTAATAAAGAGGCTCTCCCTTTGGGCAAGACTTCAACTATGTCTGACCCTAAATGCTTTAACTATACAGAATAAGACACGTGTATCATAGATACAGTAAGAAATGTCCTAAAACCGTTCGTCGCTTTCGCTTTGGGCAAGACTTCAACTATGTCTGACCCTAAATACTTTTAACTATACAGAATAAGACACGTGCATCATAGATACATTAAGACATGTCCTAAAACCGTTCGTCGCTTTCGCTTTGGGCAAGACTTCAACTATGTCTGTCCCTAAATACTTTAACTATGCAGAATAAGACACGTGTATCATACTTAACAAATGTCCTAAAACCGTTCGTCGCTGTTTTTCTTGCGGCAGTAATTTTTGTATGTTTACCGACGGAAAACATTGTTTTTACTCAGTTTCTTCTTCTTCTCCAAACACTAACCTCTGACCTGGCCAATGACATAATTTGTTGACGTCTGTCACCATGGTGACTGGTGTTGGGTTACATAATGTAATTTCATAGTAGGCATTTAGACTCCTGTCACCATATACTCGTAGTACATGTATGTGAATGTGTTTGAGTAAAAATCAAAAGGGCAGACCATGTCCGAAGGTAAACATTATGCATTTGCTTTGCAAATGTTACTTCTCTAGTTTTCTTCTTCATCCGTAGTAGTCGAAGAGGTTCTGGTTGTGCTTGCGTGATTTGGACCACTTCTCTTCCAACAGCTTCTGCCGAGCCTCCTTCAGCATCTCCCGAAGCAGGATCATGGAGAGGTCCGTGGATACCTGCAGCCCAGATCCTCGGGGTTGCCGCACTCTACCTCTCGCTGTCTCACTGATTTCTGCAGAAATACAGCAAATAGAAAAAATGTCAACTACGTAGAAAGGTAACATTTCAAAGCAAATACATAATTTTTACCTTTGCAAATGGTCTTATCTGTTAATTCATACTCAAACACATTCATGTTATATTATTGTCAGACAGGAGTTTAAATCACTCCTGCTATAAAATTGCAGCATGATGTAACCCGACACCAGTTACCATGGTGTCAGACGTCTGGTTCAGGTTATTGACCTTATTTGTTTGGAGAAGAAGAAACAGAGAAAAAAATATGTTTTCCTTCTGCAAAGGTAAACATACTGATCATAATACATTGGCAATTAATGTGCCATCCCTAAAAGTAACTATAAGCAATTTCTGAAACTGCCAGTTTGATTTTGAGTCCCTTCACTATATCCGAGCCCTTACAACGTCACATCTTAATGACTTAGATAGAACATTGACAAAGTATATAAATCACCT